GCTTGAGAAATATCCTCTCGCTGGCACCAATTTGCTCCCGAAAGCCCTGGCACAGGCACAGTCGGGGTGGCAGCAAGCGCCTGACTGGCTGCCCCAGTGGTGCCAATGGCGGTGGCATCCCCGTGGGCAACGCTCCCGCTCTCGGGATGAGTATAAACAAAGGTGGAAGACTACTGTGACGGGATTACACGTTTTCAGGACATGCTGTGCTCATCTTGAGATCCCCTTTGGCTGCAGAACTGGGCAGCATTTAAAACTCGCACCTGGTAAACAGTGCTCAGCATCACAGGAGAGGCCTCGAAGAAGGGGGAGAAGCCCATGCCTCACGTTTCTGTAATTTTGTGAATTTAAAAAAGATGTTTAATGTTCTTAATGTAAACATTTTGGTATTTCATGTTGAATAGACTAGAAGCTTCTAGATAACAGTTTCACAAACAAACAGCTGCAGCTAGATTTTTTAAATGATTTTTTTTATACAGACATTGATGCCTTTATTTTGAATTTATAATAAATATTTTTAATCAAAGTATTTGCTTCTTTAATAACTTAAACAAAGCCAATAATTTCTTTGGCTAATAGCTACCCTATTTTGCCATAATTACACTGTTCTAAAAAGGAAAAAGAAGTAATAAAAGCTTCCTTAATTAGGGAGGAAAAGAGATTCTGTGAGGAGGGACATATAACCTGGGAACATAGTACAATGCTGATACAAAAGCTACGTATGCCTAAACCTTCATGTAATATATTTCAGCAAACAAAGTCCCTCTTCTGCATGTAAAAGACTACATGCAGTTAAAATGTTAAAAACAGAGATTTATTAATAAGTTCTTAACCAGCGGAGAAGCTTAGCTGTCTGCAACTCTTAACTGCAAACTGTTTTGTGTAATTTTTTGGCTGGTTCGTTTCTTTGCTGCATTACCCCAACTTGTTTGTTACTCCAGAGTGCCCTGATAGCAGCATCGCCCGAGGCAGCCCGGGGCTACCAGCGCCGGCCCGTGGGGCTGCCCAGCGCCCACGCAGCTACTGCAGCCTGGGCTCCGGGCTGCTGCGCCCACGCTGCCAAGTGTGCACCAGACCTTGGGGAAGGTCGGCATTAAAGTAGGCATTAACAGCTCCTAGGTTCCGTGTAGACGCACCATTGATTAGCGGGCTGGGCAAGGAAGGACTAGCAGAGGAGGAAAAGTAGTGGGCAGGGAAAATGAGGTCTAGGCTAGTGAAGATAAAGAAGCTGACAGGAGCTGGTAGCTAAGGGAGAGCTTGATATAACGAATGAATTTGGAAACGGTAGGTTTAAAAAGGAGAGAAAAAGTTTGAGTGAGTAATTTTGCCTAGGAAAAGAGAGCTTGAAACACAAGGTGAGGCATGGAAGGCAAAAGAGAAGCAGCAAGAAGAAAGTGGGGTGGGAGATTGGGGACATGGCACACGGGAGGTGAGAGGCAGTCTGTGTGGATGAGGAAGCCACGGTGAACGCCCAGGCTCCAGGAGGGAATGGGTAGCAGAGCAGCAGGGAGAAAGCAGGAGGGAAAAGCAAAGGGGGAGGGAGAAAAAGTACAAATAATAATGGATTTTGATGTGATTTACTCAAAGGGAGTGGAGTCATTCCCTTGGCACCAACTGTTAGCGCAAGCCAGACTTGTGTCATGCTCCTGGGCCACTGCTGCACCCTGTCCCCCTTAGATCAAGGCTGTGTCTGCTCCTGAGGTGACACTGCGATGAGGTATGGCAGTGCCAGCAAAGGTACAGTGGGATTAGGAGCGCTTGTCCGGAAGAGCCCAGATTGCTGTGCTGTATCACATAATAGAAAAGCATTATGCATACGCAGCTGTACTGAACAGCTCTACCATCTACTGTGGACAGCACTCACTTCGGCAACTGATGTAGACTGAGCTCAGCCTGCAGATAGAACTTCAAGGAGTACGAGTTTTTGCCTAACTTGCCCCCAGATTGGAGAGTGTAGCCACAGCAGATCTTATCATCTGATCATCTGCTTTTCATCCAATATTTAACACAGATAGTCCTTCTTCCTGTTGTGCCATTACAGTTGCTTATTACCTCTAATACAGCAAAAGGTGCAGGATGATCAGAGCCAGCAGAGGAGGAGGAGGAGGGAAAAGAGTGCAGTGGAGAAAAAGGGGAAATGAGAGATACGAGGACATGCAGAAGCAGGAGGAAGGTGATTTGAGAAACTTCAAGAAGCTGCTTGCAGACACACACAGCTGTATGCTATATGCCAGAACAGAACTCTGGAGGAATGAAAGATACTTTATACACAAACAAACGGCAGTAACAAGGATATTATTGTATTTAGTGTTTGCATTGTGGAATTCGGGATGGCACATTACAGCGATAAAAAAAAAAAGAGCCCTATCCCAAAGATAGCTTTACAGAACCCGTTTCTGTGCAAAACAGGTCTAAAAACAATAAACCATATATATATGTGTGTGTATTTTAACATGTTCTTTATTACTGTCTCTGAAACTTCCCAGTGAGAGGTGATCGTTTTAAACATGAATTGACATGTCAGTGCCATAGGAAAGGACACTGATATTGAGGAGAAATATTAAATCATCCTCTGACATGTTAAGATTATAGCTACTGGTTTAAATTTAAAGAACAATCAAGGGATCTACTGCTAAACATACTTGTCACTGCCTGGATCCAGCTCTTCAGCCTTTGTTCTGTCCTCTGAACTTTTGAAATCCTGGGAAGATAAATTTACAGTCTGCGTCTGCTCAGTGAGAAGATTATTAAACAAGAAACCCCAAACACTTAAATAAAATCTTAGCTATATGCAATCATTTTAATGTAGTCTTTGATAGAGTTCATCTGATCAAGTTCTTTCCAAACTGCATGTAGAGTTTGGCCTGGGAGAAGCAGCATAAGCCCATATGTATCCTGACAGGGGTGTTTACTCGAACGGAGTTATCCCAGCCTCCCTGTGCGTACTTGGTTCTGAGAACAAGAAACGAGGGACACAAAAGGGCCTGGGGACAGGAACTGCGAGAACAATAAGGATAGAGAAACTTAGAGGAAATAACCTACTGGGAGAACAGGAATGCACTGGGAATAGAAAAATCAGTCAGACGGGGAGAAATCAGATATTGGTAAGAAGCCCACAGCGAGGGAGCGAGAGATGCCCGTAAAGAGAGGTTTGGAGAAGAGGAGCGGGCAGAGGAGGGAGGACACGGGCTGCAAGCACAGGGGAAGAGGGGAACCGCAGGGATGTGGCACCCCAGTGAGGGAAGGGGTATAAGTCAGTGGGGTTGGTGAGGAAAGGGGCAGATGGCCCTTAATTAAACTTGAACCAGGGAGGCTGTTCCTCAGCCAGCAGACCAATATTTCTGGCTGCAGAAACTTATTTTTCCCCTCTTCATCTTGCTGGACTAGAGCGGAAGGAGAGATAGGCCTTGTCTATGAAATTTCGGCAGTGTTAGAGACCAGCGTCTGCTGCCATCCCCATCGGTGGACACTCACCTGGCTGACTCGGCCTGAGACAGAGAGGGGCTTTTCTGCAGGGTCCCTTCCCCGTCCTTGTGGTGGCGGTGGGCATGGTAACCTTCTGCAGAGGTCACAGACAGAGATAAGAAGCAGCCCCAAGCAGTACTGCGGCCGTTTCTGCACCTACGGCCCAACCGCAGCCCAAGCGCTGCTGGTTTTGACTTGGTATTCATTAACAGGGTTCAGGCCGCGTGTTTCCTTGCCACAGGACCGCGGAGTGTCAGGCACGGGGAGGCTGCAGCCCTGGCAGCGGGGGCTCACTGCAGGCTGCTCCCCACCCGGTGCAACCTGCCCCGCCGCGGACCGGCCGGACCTCCTTCCCTCTGCTGGGGCCTCAGCACTGTTGGGGCTGGGCCCAAGAGCCAGCCCTCCCCACCGACCGGGCAAGATGGGATCACCCCCACAGCTCAGGGGCTCCGTGGGGCGGCGGGGCAGATTTCACTCCACTTTTCTAACTTCGTTGTGAATTTGGGAGAAGGAGTGTGTGTGTGGGGGGGGGGGGTCCT